AGTATTTTTGAGTCGGCCGACTTTCGCTGGGATAAGTTCAAGCCCCAAGAAATGATGCCGGCCTATCCCTACGTTGCCATGGAGTACGTGCCCGGAAGGACCCTCCATTCGGCGCTGGGGTGGCAGCGGGACCAGCCTTTAGAGGAATCATATCTCAGCCAAGAAGAGAAGGAGGCGATTCTGCTACAAGCTGCAGAGGCGCTGACTTACCTCTACGAGATGAATCTAATCCACAGAGACTTCAGGACCACCAACCTCATGGTCTCTCATCGAAAGCCATCAATCCAGGTGAAGGTCATTGACCTAGGGCATACCATCTTGGCCCAAGAGCACCAGTGCAAAAACAAGAGTGCAGTAGTGAGATGCAATTGGAAGGAAGAGGAGAAGAAACGGTTTGATTGGGCACCCCCAGAAGTCAAGGCTAAAGAGCCTTTCGTGAACTTCTCCTACCCATTGCACTCCTTTGATGTCTTCTCCTTCGGCGTCTTGGCCGTTCCCCGTCTCTGAATTAGTAATTGGTGGAGTCTTTGGCAGCTGAAACAGACTTTAAGGGGTGGTGTGATCTTTAAGGGGTGGTTGGCGCCCACGGCCTCAACCTTGAATCTTCTATGTCATGTAAATCGCTCAGCCGTTTGGATATCTTGATCATTGATATCAACGGACGATATCACCCATAATGTTGCCAGTTATATAATGCCAAGTGTTGTTGTCCGGTGTGTGTGTGTGTGGTATAGTAACTGTGACAGCACCATATGTATGCACACGAACAATGTCTCATATGCTGGGCTTGGTGTTTCGGGTGCGACAGCAGCGTGTCACGCTGCATTTGGTTGCAGCATTCACGTTGAAGCAATGAAACTGAAAAAGCGCAGCCTTCCGTAGATGCGAAGGAAGAGACCTGACCAACCGAAGGAATAGACTATGCATAGTCTAAAGATTCCGAAAGTGCAGTGCATAAGAGGGACAATCGATACAAAAGAGCTGAAACCCTGTCAAAAAGGCATTGTTGACTCGGCTTTGTTGTTGCTGGGTGCTGCAGTCCTTTCTGCTGTGCAATGCTCGAGTCCTGGAGTGTGTGCAGTGTTAGCGATTTAGCGGTTTCCCTTTCTGTTCTGCTCAAAAAGGGCCAGAAAGAAATGAACCGTTCGATCTGTGCACCTCATGTGACATCACCAATACATACTGAATCATATTGACAATGCCTCGGCAGGTTCAGCTGCAGACCACCAGCATGCAGTCAGCCCGTTTGGCTGTGAATCGCTTGATGGGCCTTGAGAAAGGGGAGAAGATTGGCGGGAAGCTGGGTTTTTCGCAGGGGATGCTGGAACGGATGGTTGGAGACGCCGCAAACCGAGCCTCAGCACAAACTAGACTAGACACCCCGAGTTGAGATACCTCTGCAATTGATACGACATATAATGCAACCCCGCCTAGGCCTAGAAGGTTTGCAATTTGGGGCCGTTCTGAAAATTGTTGAACATTTTAATAACATTTATTGAGTGGGGGTCAATCATGAGGCTCTTCATGAGGAGAGATCCCCAAGACTAAATGTCTTCATGAGGATGAATCTCTTCTTGATCTCTTTCCCGAGGGCAAAATCCCAACGGCTCATTATATAGTTCATTTTGAATGTGTATTTCTTTTTGGCGGCTTACCCACTCAGTGAAACACATTGGATAGGAGGAAAATTGGCCGCATTGGTGGGTATGTGAAGCAACTGCCCACGTGCAGTATTGATGCTCGTCACCCATCACCCACGTTGCCCTTCCATATCATCAGCCTCCTCCTCAGCGCTCCACTTCCAACACCCCTAACGCATCTCGATGCTCCTTGGACCCATCTCATCATGAACAACGCATTCCACTTCACCTGGACCCAGATCCTCAAAAACCACCAGAAATTCCAAGACCACTGCAAAAGTCGGCATATATTTTAACAAACGTGGGGTTGGAGAAGAACAATGACTTTGAATTGGACATAGTTTTAAAAACAAACCTCTGGTTTTAATTAGCTATATAGTATTTAGATGAATATACAAAAACGAAAGGGGTGAAGAAAGGTAAACAAGGCGGTTCGCATTGAACAAGTTGGAATCAAAAGGTGGACCAAACGATTGGGTCCGTGGGGCAGGAGGTTTCTTTTAGGCGGTTGCTTGATGCAGGAAGAAAATCGGACCAAGCTAGCAGAGGGGTTCCTCAAAAACCTGGGTTCCTCATTGTACCAAAATTGACATCTTCAGCAACTGTATGCCTTTGAGGACGGTGTTTAAGAGGAGGTGTTGCTGGGCCAACACCGTGGTGTACTTTGAGGACGTAAGGCACCTATGAAAAAAAGTGCGAATCAAGCTTGGGACGCCCCCTACACACCAAGGTCCAGATTCTCATCTTCTTCTGGAGCAGCTGAAAAATGGCGGCCAAGCAGAAGTGTTCCAGGATTGTTTCCGATAGTTGTTCAGCAAGACTTTAAGCAAACTTCGTCAAAAGGAGCCCATGAAAACTGTCAAGACAATGTTGACCAGATTCGGAAAGGAGACCCCCCCACATTACCATTGGCTGGTAGAAGGAAGTTCGTATTTCAATGTATTTCAGAACTTGGTTTGGGACCTGCGGCCTGGCGCAGGAGATCTTGATGTGATGTTTGTCTCCCGATCAAAATCCATTATAGCACAAAACTGAAAGGTTACGTATAATAAATATAGACATTTGGTCAATGCTCCATCCAGGAGAATGAAGACAGTGCAGCCCCCGGTGCCAAAGAAGGCCGACGGCAGCAAGAAGGAGTTCTGGAAGAGATTGAAGAGGTGATCGAAGGAGAGATGGCTGAGGCATCCGCATCTCCCAAAGATGGGACCGAAAAGAATGCCTCAAACGCCTCAGTTCGGACCGATCACAGCGCTCAGAACCCTCGAAGCTCGGCACCCTTGGCAACACCCTTGGCAGGTCGACAGGCAAGTGCCAAGAGTGAACCAGAAGGGCCGAAAAGGGAGCACTCAGAACCCTCAGAGCCCAGCAAATCGCGACGATTGAATGCGAAAGACACAAAGGCCGAGGAGAGGCCGGTGAAGGACAAGATGAAGCCCGACACAGTGAAGCCAGAGAGGCCCACGATTCAGAAGGAGGCCACCAAAAAACCGGATGCTGAGGAAAGACCGCCAGCCAAGCGAAAGACAGAGTTGAAATCTGGTCGATCTGAGAAACCAGAAGTGAAAGGTGAGACTGGGGCAAAACGGGCAAAAGTTAGTTCCCCTGACACCAGCAAGAGGAGGAAGGGGGAGCATCCAGAGCAAACGCATGCAGAAAAACATGGAGGTGGAAAGCAGCTCAAAAAAGACCTTGACAGCTTGCCAGAAGTGCTTGGAAAGAAGGAGCAAGACACCAAGCATCATGAGCCAAAGGTCAAGAAAGAGGAGACAAAGAAACATCAAGTCAGTGAAACAAAAGACGCAGAAAAGGCGACGATGCTGACGGAAACCCAGCACAAAGCAGCCTTGGAAAAGTTTCAAAAGAAGCATCAGGCCAAGGAGCAAGCCAAGGCCAAGGAGGCCGAGAGGCAAAGACTCAAAGGGATAAGTGATGCCAGGGAGCTACGTGATGCCAGGAGGGCAAAGATTCAGGAGAAGCTCTTGCTAAGGCAGCTCAACCTTGATGATGAGGAGGACTTGGATGGACTTGGCACCTGTTTTTTTGTCCTTTGATGCCACAGTAATTTGCAAATTATCTTCTTGAGGTGGGGGTTTATATGGTATAATGCATGTTGGTGACAGCGTGTTACTGAAACTGCTGCACACCACATGAACACCCTCTACAATTGCAGGACAAGGCTGACAGTGCGGCACGGCGCCGGCCAGAATCCAAAGCGACGACCGACACCCAGGTGCTGCAGGAAAGGGCTGACCCACCTCCAGTAGGCACACCTAAGAATGGCCAGAAAGAGAAGGAGCAGGAGGAGAAGGAGGAGAAGGAGGAAAAGGAGAAGCAAAAGGAGAAGGAGAAGGAAAAGGAGAAGGAGAAGGAGAAGGAAAAGGAGAAGGAGAAGGATGAGAAGGAAAAGGAGAAGGAGAAGGATGAGAAGGAAAAGGCCACGGAACCTGCTCGGAAAGCAAACGGGTGGAGCAGCGTTGAAGCTCAAGCCTTGCAAGCAGCTGAGGCAGCAAAGGCGGCAGAAGCGAGGGCTGAACTACAAAAGAAGGCAGCAGCAAGAGCCGCTGAACAGAAGGCCCAGGCTGAGGCCGCCGCTGAACTTGAAAGGTCCAGGGAAGCGGCGCAAGCGGCTGAGGCCGCCCGAGCTGCAAAAGCTGCTCAGGATGAGCAGGCCGAGGCAGCTGAAAAGGCTTCGAGAGCTCGTCAAGTCGAAGATGCACGTGCTGCTCAAATGGCCCAGTGGGCTCACGCCCAGGCTCAAGCCCAGTACATGCAGCAGGTTGCCGCCGCCCAAAAGGTTCTGGCCCAAGCAGATGCCTTGCGACGCATGAAAGAAAAGGCTGACTTGGAAGCTGAACAGAAAGCCGCTGAGCAGAAAGCTGTGGCAGCTGCCACAGCTGCTGCAGCCGCTGCCTGCACAGCAGCGCCTCTAAAGGCGGTACCACTTGTAGCTGCCCCGATTGCAGCAAGCGTAAGGGATTTGCCAGGGCGTGCGCTTTCTGGCCCAGTGGTAGTGCCACCAATCTTCTTCCCGAAAGCCCCTCCAGCTCGTGCCACACCAATCGTCGAACAAAAGGAGGAGATGCATTTCTCCAAATCCGGCATGATCAGCAAGAGCTCAGCCCAAGCAGCGTTAATGACGAAACGAAGAGCCTGGTGATGGTCACTCTGGATCTGTGGTGCCGTTCATGATGGCATGGTCCTGCAGCTGTAGCTAAGAAATGCTAGAACGCAAATGTGTTGCCTTGAGGGCATGTTGCAAAAAGAGGAATGTGCGTGGCACTTTGTCAGCTACAGAACAGGTCAGAGCATGCAAAGTTGCCTGAGATTTTGTGATTCAGCCCGTCGTTTGTTGGACAGGAGTCCAGCATCCATGGGCGTGGAGTATTCACAACCAAGGACTGAGTTTCGGTGCCCGTGACCGGGAAGCATTCTTGTGGAAGCCTTGTGGAGGGACATTTGTATATATAATTTAAAGGCAATTTAAAGGCCCGAAGTCAATCACATAAAGAAGAGGAACTACCGTGCGTGTTTCAAGAACTAGCTTTTTGCACTCAAGCTTGTGTTTTGCGAGCGGCCTGGGTTGGCAGCCAAGTAGCGTATGATTGCAAGAGGTTGGGGCACTCTAGAGTGCTAGCTGCTAGTGACTGCTAGTGTTAGTGGGATAAGTTGAAGGTGGCGTGTACACTGGCACATCAGAACCCAGGTGCTTAAGTCGGAGGCTGTGCTTTCCATTGCTTTCTCATGCTTTTTCCATCACGTTGGGTTGATTGGCGTGTTGTTTTGGAGGATGCTGCCGCCGGAGATCTTCTGGAGAGTTGCCCGGCGGTGCTGATGGACGGGCCATGAGAGCTGGCAAATGTGCAGACGCTTCTGGTCAACCAAGAGGATAAGTGACATTAGGAGGCAACTGAGTACCTATCCCAGTCACTCTTTGGGTTTGAATACTCACTGGGTCCTCAGCACGTAAGACCCACAGGCGTTTCCGTGCCGTGACGGCCAGGACGAAGGTGCTGCTGAAGCCATGTGACTTGTCGAGGTTTGTGGATGTCGGAAGACCTGACGGGCCCCTAAAAACACATTTGCAACGGGAATCCGGCCAAATGAGTTTTTTATTTTCAATTGTCCAATCTCCTATGTAGTTAGGTAGTGCCATTCAAGGATCCTCCAACATGGACGTGAATTCAGCAAAAGGCAGCATGGCAACCTCCCTAGCTCAGTTTGCGAGGTTCAGCTATCGCTGGGGCCTGCATCCCGGGGACAGAGAGAGAGAGAGAGAGGGAGGGAGCGACAGTTTTCAGAGACCAATTATTTAGACTCAAAGGATGCCTTGATGGACACCCAAAAACATACGAAGTCCGACACGCCTTAGTGTATTTTTCTGTTCATTTGTTGCTAGCACGCTGAGATGTCTTGTTTTCTGCTGGGAGAAGGACTATATATCCGCTCAGGCCTGAAGAATAACGAGAACAGCAAGGACTACTACCTACCATTAGGCTTGATATGGCTTTTAAGTATTTTTTAAGTTGGTTGCAGTGGGACGGGCTTTGACTTAAGGGTCTTCGGATGTCTTCGGTATAGAGTGCAAACTCAGGAGGGACTGGAGAGAGGTGTGTACAAGCATGCATAGAGTGGTCGAGAAAGACGTGGATCTCACAGTTGGTTCCTGGTGTGACACTTCAAGTACCACATGCTTTGACACCTGTGTCGCGTGATGATTTGGGAAAGTGAGTTGCTGGACCTACACGTCACCAAAACGACATAGGTTTGTTGAGAAAAATGTTACGTTCAAACCTTGATGTATGTGTTTGGGACTGTATTTTGTGTTGAACTCTTAGGGCCCAATCTGGGGCCCAAGCTGAGTTGCGAGACCCAGGCGACATGCTCTTGAGTCAGGCTTTTGCTCAAAAACCTCCTAAAACAAACGGTTGGTTCAGACCCCCTGCGACATTCTATGATATCCATTCGCCAATGCTTGCAGGCCTAGGTTCCTTGTACAACCACTCAGAATCACCGTGGGGGTTGCCTGGTGCGATGGCTTACGGCGTACCGGGTGCACCGTGAGGATCGCATGTCGGAGACTTGATCCTAGTAGCTTCTTTGTTCCTAGTAGTAAGGCACTTGTTCCTAATAGCTTCTTGTTACTACTAGTAAGGCACTTGTTACTACTAGCGAGGCACTTGTTACCAAGTCTTTTTTCGAGCTGGTTGTCCTATGGTGCCAGTGCTTCGAATAGGATGACCATTCACCTCCGGCAAACCTACGCCTCTCAGCCAGCTACCACGCGAGCCGCTGCGCTCTGGGAAACTAGTCCTCTTTGCCTCGTTTGCGGAGCGCTAGCCAACTCACAAGCACGGAGCTTTCGTGATCCTGTGCACCAAGATGAAGTGGTAATATGTGGTATATGTGATGAGCACGCAGACCTGGTGACCTTTACAAAATGTGAACGTCAGTGCCTGCTCGCATGGTGAGGAATGCAGCTGGGCAATTGGATGTGAAGCGCTCGGTCAACGAGCTCAGCAATGTAGTGCTGGACTATAGACTATATAGACTATTGTTATGTATAATTAATAGGCGCTCGCGAGAAACCAGAATGCCTGAATAGTTTGTACTAGTTACTAGATGTGTTACCGAGATGTTCCTTTAAAGAACGAGAGGATGGTCACTGAGAGGGTTGAACATGCTTGACTGCTCCTCCATCCAGAACGACAACGGTACGTTCGTCCCTCATAGTCTATCCCCTGTCGCCATTCAGAGGCACTGGTTCCACAACCTCCGGAGACGCTGTTTTCGTGGCTCAATCCAATAGTGCATTTCCTGACGGTCACCCACGCAATTGGAGGATGTGAGGATGTGGTTATTTTTGAAATTGACTTTCAAGCATTTCTCGCCGCATTCACTCTTCTTCATATGGTCAATCTCAGCTACAAAACAACATCAGCCAACATCAGCCAACCACATGGACCGAGCAACTTTGTGACTTAAAGGGCGAGGTTGAACACCTTTGCCAAGGCAGGCGGGAAGTGTAGTGTTGTATAGTGGGAGAAGAACGCTGGCATTCGGTGCGCACCTGAAAGTGGCAGCTGAGAAGAGCTTGTCAGAAGCCTAGAAAAGAAGAAGCCAATCTTGCCGGGCGTGATAATTAAGATGGTAAGGAAGATGGCTAGCAGGAAGCAAATGTTCGATTCAAGATGTTTCAGTTTGATCCAAAGTGCTTCGGCAGCACCGATGTGTGGACGGTAGCTTTGGCTCAGACGTTGGAGAGCTATGGATAGGCTTTGGCCCGAACTGGCCGACCCTACGCTTGCATGGCCCATCTCTTGACCCTGCGTTTTCTGGGCTTGACATCAGTAGCTGCCTTGCTGCCCAAAGAAAGGCGCCTCATCTACAGAGTCTTGGCTCAGACTTGAAGATTTGGAAACTGTGGGGCCATTTGTGATCCTTAATCACAGCACAAGACACACATCATTCAGATATGATAAAAGATGATCTTGTGCATGGCATGACTATGACCACTTGCACCTGTTGAGCCATCGGTCATGAAGGGTTGTTCATCCTGATGCCCATAGTACATTAGTACATATTAGTACATAGGGCCCGAGCCATTTGCTTCTCGCTTTGCGAAAAAGGCTGCCACGTTTACGTTTGTGCACCTTGCTACTCACCTTCCACAGTTGTTCTAGTTGGCACTGGAGCCTGTTTGTCTGCAAGTGGGTGCTCAAGAGGAACAAAAGCAGTTGTGTAGACGAGGGCGCAACGTGGTGCATGTTGTAAGTTGCTGGTGGCCCTGTCTGCATTTTCAGAACGTCAATGTGTTGGGGGCTGCTTCGCTCCAAATCTGAGGCTACAATGATTCTGACCGACGCCTGGCTGCAAGGGCAAACGCGAAAGTCAAAGGTCACATGGAACGACATTGCGCCTTTTCATGTTTTCTTTTGTTGTATGCGTGCAAGCAACCAGCGGTTGTTGCACAGCATCCACACTTCTGGTACGAAGGGGGCCGGCTTCCTGAGGTCCTGTCGATTGGCCACGCTATGCTGACGCATTTCCATACCTCGTCTCGATACATAGTGATGGCGCACATACTTGCGGAGGGTTGCCTGGCACAATACGATTCGGCCGAGTCATTTTGGAGAGGTGAGAAATTCGATTTACTACAGGACAAGTATGTCAAAGGCACCCCCGGTGATTCATGATTTTCATTGATTTTCAAAACGTTCGAGGACGCTCCTAAATGAGAACTGGGTGCTGACTGCAGCACACTGCTTTGGAACGAGTGCGAGCCCTGTCGACCATATGGAGGCGGGGCCTCTTTGGAAACATGTAGCATGTCGTTATATAGACTGTATCGTGTCATGCCCGATGCTGCACCCAATGGTCTTAGTTTTGATTGTGTTACATTGTAATGAACAACGTTGTTTGTGTTTCCAAGTGCGAAAGGCACCAATTACCGCAGACCAAATTGCAAAAAAATGGCAGCTCCATATTTGTGCTGCGCAGCCGCGTGGTGCCTTTTCCAATTGCACAGCACAATTACACACCAAAGGATCAAACATCCCTGCCATCAACTCTGGACCCCACGGTCGTCGGCCACCAACGACCGAACCATCGGACACCTCGCGGTTTGTACTTCGCCGAACGCCACCTTCGACGTGACGTTCGCGGCGAACGCGCAACATGGGGGGGAACACACGAAGCGTTCGCGTAACGGCACGCTTGAAAAGCCACATACATGTAGCCGATGACTTGAAAGGAGTGACTGATGGTGACTGTTTCCCAGAACGACCGCGGCCATGTCCAGATGTTTGGGGTGTCCTTTTGGCTTCAAGAGAGGGAACGCGGATAGGGAAAACCACTCATGGCCCACAAATATAGTCAAACATCCAGCTGCGCCAGAGAGCAGAGGTGCGAATGAAGGATGGCGGCGACAATTGGAATGTAGCCAAAGTGGATCTGGTAGTGCCTTGGTACGTCTTGGTACAGGGGATAGGGCCTGGAAGTATCAACAATCAAGCCAAGCATCTCGAAGCGTCTGTTCCGAGCGATGCGTGTAGTCCACTTGCTGCCTCCGAGGTGGTGCATGAGGCATATGATCTAGACCTGATTCTGAATGACATTGCATCTTGAACTTGGAGCAGCACAGTGGTGTTTTTTGGTCTTCAGTGGCTCCCACTGCAACATTGTGAGCATTCCATGCCACCCGACTGTTTGTGCCTCTCTTTTCGCGCCCAGGCACTCATGCGCCTGGCATCGCCTCTGAATGCATCGAAGTTTGCCAAGTTGCAGATGAGCGACCAACGCCACAATGGTTCACAGGCCACAGTGGAGCTGTGCGGTGAGGATGGTGTTTGTATGTGTTTGTTAGAGCAGAGGCTGGTGAACTACGGTGAGTTGCTTCCTAACGGGTCATTGTTGAGACACGTTCATGCTGAGAAAGAACTAGTTGGAGGGATCAGAACTGAATTCCCTTTGGCTTTGTGAGCCTTGATATCATCACCTGAACGAGGCCCTGATTGCTGGCTGGGGGACTATTGATGAAGCGTGCGCACAGTTTCGTGGCATAGGGTTGTCATGGCTGTTGAATATATATATATATAAGTAGTACAGATTGGAGCTGAGCGCTTTGAACACTTCAAGAATCAAGACTCTAATTTGTTTATTGCTTTCAACTTTCAACCAGACATGTTTTTTTGGCAGATGCCGCCTGAACCTAAGGTTTGACAATGTCCTCCGGGAGGGTGACACCTTCATTGTGGGGAGCAACATTTGTGCACAAACCACACAGTCTTGCGGATCAAAGCTGGGCCGGATGAGTTACCTAGGTGTTTGTCGCCAGGGATTGACCAGTGAAATCGGAATATGAAGCGAATCAAAAGCGATGCCAACATTCATGGAGATTTGCGAAGGAAGTGCAGACCCATGGGGTAAACCGTGAGACTCCCACAGGCTCTCGTGAGGAAAGCGCAAGGTTTCAAAGAGTTCAGTTGGCATCGAAAAGCATTGCCCGAATACTGAATACTGCTCTTGACAAGGGCTTTAGGACTGTTCATCCATTAGGTGAGTGAACATTCTGGCAACGAGCAGCCGTGTTTGGTGTTACCTCACCCTGGTGCTTCTTTGTGCTTCTATACTCGTTTGGAGTTGCGGACTCCAAGGTTCTTCAACTGGACCGAATGGATTTGCACGGATCACATTAACTCGAGCTCGCAGGTCCGAGACATGAAAGAGCGCTCTTTGATCGGTGTTGAGTCATGTTGAGTCTTAATGAGGGAACGCCCTGTTTTGACTCAGAGCCTTGAGAATACAGGCCATTGCTGGCGTTGGTTGTGGAGACAGTGGTGGCCCATTATTCCTTGAGGACTTGCACTCAATGACAGGTGAAATCGATATGTGTTCATGTGGGATGGGGTGTCACTTGGACTTGGTTGTCATGATATTTTCCTTGTGATTCAGGGGGTCGGGCCGAGCTGTTTGATTAGGGAGGGGTATTTATTTTTGTGTTTTTTTTGTATCTTTTTTGTTTTTTTTGTTTTTCGTGGCTTCTGGCTTCTGGCTTCTGTGGCTTCTGTCTTTTGTGGCTTTTGGCTTCTGTGGCTTCTGGCTTTTGTGGCTTTTGGCTTTCGTGGCTTTCGTGGCTTCTGTGGCTTTTGGCTTTTGTGGCTTTTGGCTTTTTGGCCTATCCATCTATCTGTCTATACCTATCTATTTATATATCTATCTATCTTTCTTTCTTTCTTTCTTTTGGCAGCTGTTCTCCTTTCTCTTTTGGTATTTGCTTTTCCTGTTGTTTTCGTTGCAGAGACGAAACCAAACAAGGAAGCAAGCAAGCAAGCAAGCAAGCACGAGCTGCTCACCTTTGGATCTGGTGTGCCGCCCCCCCCCCCCCCCCCCCCCGCGCCACGAAATCTGCACTTCATCCCCGACACCCGCGCCTGCCACGAAATCGATATTTTAAGGTGAACTCCTTGGTGCAAAACTTTCTAACCAAGCAAATATGCCTCCTCTATCTATCTATCTATCTATCTATCTAATCTTAATCTTAATCTTAATCTAATCTAACCCAATCTAATCTAATCTATCTATCTATCTATCAATTTATCTATCTTTCTATCTTTCTGCAGTTCAACATCCACAAAGTACTGCACCTGCCACGAAATCTACACTTCAAGGTCCACAAAGTCTTGCGCCTGCCACGAAATCTGCACTCCAAGGCCCACAAAGTCCTGCACCTGCCACCAACTCTACACTTCCACACCCACAAAGTCCTGCATCTACCACGAAATCTGCACTTCAAGGTCCACAAAGTCCTGCGCCTGCCACAAAATCTGCACTCCAAGGGCCACAAAGTACTACACCTGCCACGAAATCTGCACTTCAAGGCCCACAAAAAGTCCTGCGCCTGCCACAAACTCTGCACTCCAAGGCCCACAAAGTCCTGCACCTGCCACGAAATGTGCTTTGCAAGGTCCACAAAGTACTGCACCTGCCACGAAACACGAAAAACAACAAAAAATAAAAAAAACGAAAAAAACAGAAATAAATTCGCAACCTTTGATTAGTACCACACGATGGGCAGCACATGGGAGTTTCATCAGAAATTGCGTAGCCATAGCCAGCATGACTTGTTGCAGCTGAGTTGAACTTGCAAGGAGAATAACGAGCTAGTCCAAGTTGGTGTGGTGTCCTACACTTCTCAGGGAAAGGACTATTTCACAAGAGTGTGACTTGGATGCTGAACCCCACCCCACCAAAAAGGCCGTTGAGCCACCAAACCCTTAAACATTGCCAATTCAATCTATATAATTCAGCGCCTTACTTAGACATTGAGAATGGAGAGGTCATAATGTTTAGAACAAAGCGAGATCACGGGCTTGATGTGTTTGACTTCCCAAGGTTCACATACCTTGATTGGCTCAACGGCGTGCAGAACAATCCTCCATCAGAGTCAATCATGGTGAAGCCGCGGTGTGTGGGCTCGTGTTGCCATGATGCAGCCAATTCATTAAATCAGAGTTGGAAGAGGGAACGTGACAGTCAGACACGAGCTCAAACGATTGTGCTTGGGTAACAAATATATAGATTTGGGATAATTTGACCTACGCACACACATACAATATATATATATATATCAATATAAAATAAAGTATATATGTGTATGACACGTTTTTCTGCCAAGTCATGATCTGTGACGAACAGAAACCTGGGAGATGAAGACAGTGTTGGCCTTTTCCCACATGGTTTATGACCTGCTGTGGCCTTTTTATATGACCTCTCTGATCCTCGTTGATCAAACTCCTAGAACAAGTTCCAAGACATTTTCATGTTTCCCGAACTATTTCATTGTATCAGAATCTAACATTAAACAGCAAACAGGGCGCTAATATACTTTTATGAGCTGGCCATTTGGTGTCCAGTCAAAATCCCACCGGCTCAGGTTGTGATGACGCCAACTATTTGGATGCATTTTCGGAGGAATGCTGGACGTGGCTGAATTTCGATGCTTGGCTGCTGGAATCTGTGATTCTGCCAGGAACCATCAGCAGAAATAAACAGCTAGTAACTAGATGTAACTAGACATACTGTAAGTAGACTATATATACTGGTGTATCTATATATATATATATATCTGTGTGTGTGTTTTTGAATTATTCTTTCAGTTGCACAAGAGGGCCTTTGCCCAATGCTGCCGTTCCTTTTTTTGATGGTTTAAGGACTGCAGCGCTTGGGATGCACCAGCGGAAGATGTTGCCGTTTGGCAAGAACGATGCAAAGATCAGAGCTCTCCTTTGACCATGCAGGTATTTACCTTATTTAATGGAATCGTGTCACACTGTCACACTAATACTGTACCCACTGTCCACGCAACATTTGCAACCGGGTTTGGTCGACTGTGAAAGTTGTAGCACTCACAAGGCCTTGTAGCGTCCGATCGCTCCTAGTAGTAAGGCCAGGAGCTCCTAGTAGCTTCTTGTTACTAGTAGGAAGGCCAGGAGCTACTAGTAGCGTCCTTGCTTGTTACTATGCTAACACCGGTTCACTTTTTTTTGGGGGGCCGACGCTTTTGATGCTTTGTGTGGCGTCATGTGGCACAGAAATGCACAGATGCAACGTTCAAGGCCGTGTTGCTGGCAAATTGCCCTGCAACCTGCGGCATTTGCCCGAGTTGCGAGGCGGATGCTGCACTTTTCCTCTTTCAAAACATGTTGGTCAGCGCATGATCAAATTCCACTCCTCCTTCGCGCGGTTGATATCAGTAGATCATGATCCATGCCCTTAAGTTTCCAAAAAAGACGTTATGCGGCACGTGTGCGTGTATATATATATACATATATATATAATACATATACACAACATACACACGCACATATATATATATATATATAAGTGTATAATACATAATATGTGTATTTCAATCAGCATTAGGAGCCTGTTCATTGCCATACCGAAACCCCATAACCCCATTCTCCAGCTTCTTTCCTTCTTGCGTGAAGGCCACAAACGTCCAATGCTGCGATGTTGCGGGATTCACGGATGCCGCAGGTGGGACTGGCGGGACCTTGCCGACCTGCATTGTGCATCTCATTTATTATTGAACATTCTTCTGCCACACATGTACTGACTTCACAAAAAGCTATGAGGCCGCATCAAGAGAACGCCTCAAAGGTGTAGGTAGTGAAGGCACACAGCAATCAACAGTCCACTGCACTTGTTCTTTTGTCTACTTGGTCAAACCTGCATCCAGGACAGCCTTGCAGCTTCTGGACAGGCTCACACGATCTGAATCGATGCAACACGAGACGTGCTTTTTTGACATGGACTTACGATTCACATGTGGCCTGGCCGGGCCCATACTTTTGGAGTTGTTTTCGATGGTCCTGCGGGTTTCTTGTGTCTCTCGCAAGGGGTGTGAATTTGTAAGATGGGAAGAGAGAGAGAGAGAGCGAGCGAGGCAGCCTAGATTGCTCTGCTGCTCCTTTCAGTGCCACGGTTGCAGGAGTGCAGCAAATGACTTCAAGCCTTTGTAGGACACACACACACACACACACATATATATATATATAGTCCGGCCAGGGCGGGTTGCTGAACACACCTTCGCAATAGGCATGAGCCCACCAGATAGTTTGTCAACAACTCTACAGCCCACCCTTGTACCTTCCATCCTTCTCAGTCAAAATGGGAACGAAGTGAGTATTAGATAGTTTTAGGGAGTGTGGGGGGTAAGGGCCTTGCTGATGCGAGTGATGCCAAAAAGGTTGAATTGTGCATTGTTAGCATCACAAAGTGGCCAGTATACTATTCACGTGGACAGCAGTCTGTCTAGGTTGTGTGATGGTTCTTCCCCGCGCTCAACGAAGAAGGCAATGTGTGGTATCAGCCAAGGACCGTTTTCTGTACGGCTCTGCCATAGAGTCTATGTGGTACAAGAGGGTGGGCCAAAACGCATTGAGACTAGCGGGCTCAAAGAAAAGGGCATGTGTGGTGGTGCCCTTGTTGTTCGCTTTGTCCTTGGTGAAGAAAAAAGTACACCAGCAAAGGCCCCCAAGCAGCTGTAAAGAAAGCACGTTGAAAGACAATGTTAGTTTGCGGTCTGCGTGTGTGGTGGTGCCCTTTTTGGGAACCAGCAAAGGAGTGCTACCTTCTGGGATCTACTTGTAGCTAGGTCCCCCCAAGAAGCTCCAAATAGAATACTGTTTGAAGTTTGAAGGCCACTTTGATGTAGCACCAAATTATCCTGGAAAAGGATTTGGGGATGATTGCCCTGCTGCAAGAACGAAGCGCCTCTGCAAACCAAGTACGTAGAAGATCGCATCAACGGCATTCTGCACGATGTGCAGCTGAAGTCGTTCACTGGCAGTACGGGCTTGAGATTATACTTGGCCTAGCCATGTTGGCAATGTCGTTTGAAATGACCTTGCGTGACAATCCCTGTCATGCGCTTCCAGCAAGTGCGACGGTTTCAAGCATGCAGTTTCGACGTCACACTATAACTATAACAACAATGGTATTTTATAGAGTTCTCAGTGTCTAGGAGGGCTTGCTCCCCCCTCCCTTCTCAGCTATATATGTCCAGCAAAAACAAATTCATTCCTCAGAGTGGCCCTGTGAGACAGATGCATGGTAGCGAGACTCTGCTGACAGAGAGGTGGAGGGAGAGCCGTTGCATTTTGGACAAGGTGCGACGCAAGTGGCAAATCTCCAAAGCAACTGTCAGCACAGTTGTGGTCTTTGCAGTCCTGGAAGCTTTTCTGCAAAGGCCTTTGTGCCAATATGGGGTCAGGAATTTATTGTCCAACATGAGGCAATGACAGGATTACATCAAACTCAAAGGGTCAAGCAAATCACCTCACGCATACTGTTTGTGAGCTCGAAGTTGCAGTGAGCTTGCGAGAGCCATGCATGAATGATTCTGCATTCCAAGGAGCCGATTGCACAGACAAGGGGGGCTGGCTAGATGCACTGGGTTGCTCGCTCCAAACACAAGAATCGCCCCAACACAAAGTGTCACGTACCACACCAGCAGTGACTAAGGCTACGCGTGCATTCAGTGGCCTTGGCCTTAGTTCCCAGCAGTTTCATGCCCCAAGTTATGTCACTCCGTAAAAGTTTGTTTGGGAGGTCTTTGGTTTGACCTTGCTAAAAGGGACAAGAGGCAAAGATAACTGGGTGATGGGGAAACCGCAAATTTTACAGATTTTGATAACAAAGGCGCCGATGTTTTCATCAAAACCTAAGACCCAGGCTCCTCACATCAGTCATTGCATGCTCAGGCGGGGCTATGATTGCTCGAGTGCCGTTGATGCTCAGCTGCAAGAAAAGGCCATGGGCTGGTGGGCCTAGATGCATCTAGAGTTTATGAAAGGGGTGACCAGTTACAAGCCACAGATGTTTGGTACTTGTTTATTTTTTTTTGCATATATAATTACTAAGGCATACTGGGACAATCTACCACTGGGCCAGGTGAGGTAGATATGGACTCGACTTCTGACTGGATTTTTGAGCAGTGCTTGATGTTCAAGGACCCCAACCTTCAAAAAAGCTGGACAAGAACGGTTCCCTGATGCACGTTTGATTGGAGATGCCAGCCGAGGAAACGTATGGCACCTCGATTTGCACGAGCTTGAATGCATTGTATATATACTGTAGATGTTTATAATGATGCCCTGATTGGATGCTGATGGATGCGAAGCTTTGTGCCTGGAGTCTTGGATGTGGCCCCCTGCAGAGGCATTAAAAAATAAGGGCATTATGATGATGAAACCAAGCTGAGTGACTAGCAGTCATATCAAACCATGTCATCCGTGTGAAGCTTGCGTGTTCCCGAGCAGGACATGTTGTGTATCAAGTTTATTTTGATTTGGCTTGGCTTTGGCATTGATGACCCCTCCAGCTCGGATCCTGAGGCTATTTCTCACAGGATCAAGCAGATGTAATGCGACACTGCCACTTGGGCGTTTTGGAATGTGCAGCAACAAGCGGCAGAGAAGCTGACAGGGTGAGCATTGGTTTGAAACTGACCCTGCAGGTAGACGGGATTTCTCAAGGGAAACACACGACTTTCGCAGTTTCAACATGTTTCAACGAATTCACCAGGTTCGCGAGTCACAGACATTTGCAAGATGAACCCACACACACACACACACTTCACAGAATGCCTTAGGCCCGCTTTCCTGCGGCTTATGTTCTGCAGGGTGCCTTCAAAGCATTTCATCACTGGTGAGTTACCTGTGCTTTGAGGTTGAAGTGTGTTTTTCACTGTGAATAGTGCTCACACTGATCCTGCATAGCACCACCCCTCATGCAATGAGATAAACCACGGCATTACCCACCTCCAGCAACAGAGGTTTAACGAGTCCTCGATCGAACATTGTTCGAATCCAACAAATGTTTATCCAGACACATGCTCGTTGCGCATGTCAACAGTAGCGACTTTTGCATACTTCATTTTGGACGCTCGCTCTGACCAACTATTTTGGACATCAATTCAGGGAGTCGCATGGGGGACACCTAGTTACACCACGAATCATGGACGGTGGTTCGACTGTGAAGCATTTTGGCCACTTCTAGGGTGAGGTGCACGTTGTAGATTTCGTTGCATGTTTGTGGGGTGAATGGGAAGAGGTCTACCAACAGCACGCAACAATTTCTCGGGGCGACCAATCCCATGTTCGGTCGCCAGCGAGCAACAGCATGCTGTTGGCATCGAGGGGCTAGCTCTAAGCATTTCAGCCGAACACTGGGCAGTTGGTATAGGGATATATGAGTTGGGTTTGTCCCATTACCCTGTAGCAGTCGGTACAGGAGTATCACTACTATATTTTGAGAGAGGCCTTTAAAACTTTACTAACGATCATCCACTGTGACGGATGCTTACTTTTTCCCAATCTGAAAGTGAATATCGCCGATCACTTCCATGACTTGAAAGAGCCAGGACATAAGAACTGACTTGGAATCTTGCAACTTCTCCAACTTGATGTTGGGCATCCGAGGCCTACTAGCAGTGGCGCTCTTTCCACCACGGTTGCTGAAGATGACAATGGTATTGTGCCTGATGTGCCTGGGTGCTGTGAGATGCCAGAATTTCAGGGTGCCGAAGAATCAGAACATCAGCCATCATCACCCATGGTTTTCTAACTGTTTCGTGGATAAGAGTGGCGCTTGTAATTAACAACTGGAGAAGATCGGGGTTTGGGCAAAGCTGATTATGATTGATTATGTGTTTTCCTAGTGGCGCTTCTCCGCCAAGCACCGTCTACGGACCTAGCAGATCGTGGAGGGAGATGTTCAGACAAATCGTTGTTACTACTAGCATTCTTGTTACTACTAGTAAGGCACTTGTTACTAGAAGCGATGCACTTGTTACTACTAGCATTCCATTTGCACTCCTCCCCGCAAAATGCCACACAAGGAGGGAAGTGTTTGCAACCATGTTCGGCCGCACATCCCAACATCTAGCCACGCGATGGCCAAGCTAGCCGTCAAACCGTCAAACCTGTAGGGCTTTTTAACTCTGTCAAACAGTCGCCGCTTATTGACTTTGCGCAGGGGGCTTCTACGTCCTACGGCAATGTCGGAGGACCCTAACATGTATGTGCTTGGTGCAAGGATTTGCACTTGTATACTGTTTGAGGGCAGGAATTCGTCAAGTGTTGAACTTAGTCAGTCTTGCTTGGTAGGATGAATGAAGCATGAACCAGTAGCATCGGTGCTGTATTGGCTGCTTGCCCTGCCAGGCTTGAATGGTGGCATTCGCATCAAGATCCATCATTGTTTGGCTGCCATATCGCTAGCCTGGTGGTGGTAGTGGACAGTCGACGGTTGAGCCAAGTGAAACATGACACCCCTGGTGCTGCGATTCTTGGACATCAAGATCCAAGTTGTAAGACCACAAGGTCAAGTTTTCAACTGCTTGTGTCCTGGAAATGCCGGCCCGAAGACTTGCAGCAGAAGAACGCATGGGTAGATTGAGCTCCTTCTCCCTCTATCTCAAGTGTCACCCCAAAAAGCACAACCGAAACGACGGGTTTTTGGTTGACTGACCAACCTTCGTTTTTGCTGTCTATCTTGCGTTGACCACCCGAGGTCCGAGACCTGAGGACGACTGCATTGGCCATGACAAGCCCAGAAGAACAACATGCTCCACATGTTTCCACCACCACCTGGAAAAAGCTCGTCCCACCTGGTTCACTCGCATCAACTTTGTTAGAACTCTTACAATTTGATATAATTTGATGCAATTTGCAATTTGATGTTGGGTGTAATTCAGTGCTAGGCAGCACTCTTGCAGCCGTCCACAGCAAGTGCCGGAAAGCTTCCAGAGTTGACACGGGCTTTTGCTGTTGTGCTTGTCACACACCTTGAAGCCCGGCCCTTCACTTCCGTCCCCCAAGGGGAGTCAGGTGAGAGGCTTCTTGCTAGCAGATGCATGTCGTCAAAGTTGCTTGTGTTGAGAGGGAACTGCTCGGAATGGTTCCCTTATGTTCCCTTCCAACTCACGCTAGATGCAACGAATGCATGGACGCTGTAGGTGTCCTGTGCGGACCAAAAGGATAGTAGTAGAAGTCTGTGGAGCCTGTGCTGTAAATTCTGCCTCATGTGCCTCACGATGCAGAACTGATTTTCTATTCAATCAATTAGACAACAACAAGCTTGCGACCGATTCTTCTAGGGAACTGATCAAAAGATACCAAAGGTAAAGGCTTGGATTCATGGTATATAGACACACCCGGCCACAGGCATCTCTGTGGATGTGATGACGTCATTTGCATCGTTTACTGGCATACGCTCCTCGGCTTCCCATGAACGCGAGGACCATGTAAGGTTTGATGCTCGTTGTTTGACTGTTCAGCTTTTGAGTTGCGAAGAGAGCACAAGAGGACTCAAGAGGACTAAGACTAAGAGGATCACTTGGAAATGTGCACCCCAAAGACCCCAAAGCCTATTTCGCAGGTTTCCGTTTTTGTGGTGTCAGCTTGAGTCAGCTTGAGCCGCTTGCGCACTGGAGGTTTGCGTGTTGATCCTCAAACCGAAGCTGACGCACCTCCTTGGCAAGTGCAGGAGCTCCGTGTCCTATGTGAACGACGGCAGATATTCTTGGAAGACTCAATATTTGGCCCGTTCTTTCTCTATTCTTGTTGGTCTCAAGTCTCAAGCAAGAGTCAGTTGCCGAATTTCTGGCGCTGCCATGGTTCAGCCCAAAGAAATCATCTCTTTTCAATAGACGAAAAATAGACGAAAGGAGATTGGAGGTGTGACTTTTTCACAGGAGCTGGGTGCATTTACCGACATCAATTGCACCCAACCTGCCGGTGCCAGCTCGACAGAATCCTCGGTGGGTGATCCAATGCAGGCCTCAACCGTTCTCACACTCAAAGAGCGGAAGGTCAATCAGGGTCAAGATTGAAGGCTTGCTCGGTGTAGTCAAGGTTTTGGAAGATCTTGAGGTATTTTGACCAAGCACTCTGATTCTTAATGTGTCGCGGTTAGTTTTGTGCCTGACTTGGCAGCTCTTGCAGTGTGAGTTCCCACTGGATAGGCCTTTGATGGAGATTTTGGCAGCAGCTGGACAGCCTCTTGCATTGCTGGTGTGGACTCTTGGAGACGTTGCCAGGAGATGAGACCAAAAGCACCTGTGAAGCGCGAGACGGTGGAGTAGACTAAGTTGACAATCCTAGAAGGATTTCAGGACACGCATGTATGTTTATAATTATACTTACATAAATATGTAAAAAAAAATATATATATATATTTACACGTATAAATGTATATATATATATACAACGATGCAACATGCACACATACGTACGTACGTACGTACGTACGTACGTACGTACGTATGTACATACTTACTTACTTACTTACATTCATAGTTGTATAACGTGGTTCATAATTTTGCATTGCTCACGATATCGTTGACTTAGTTATTCGTTCAGCTGCAAGAGCTGACGACGACGGATATGTGAAGTGACCGTTTAGCTTGGGATGATGAATGCTCAGTTGCTACTGTATTCTGCTTGTAGATGTCTGTTGTTTTTATCAGTTTTTATGATCTTCTAAGTGCTTCTCCGACATAGGTGTGTTCCTTGTGTCTTTCTCTCAGCTTCCCTCAAAAATCCGGGCCAGCTAGCTATCCACACGAGCTCGCGTGCGGGATTGACTATGGTAACTCCTTCCCACCCAAGAAGGGAATCTGCTGGGCTGCCAGAACGGCAGTGCAGAAGCTTTACTCAAAACTGGTTTCTTGGCCTAACTCTTGAGCCAAGGACGCAGAAGGAAGCCAAGGATATGCGGAAAGACCAAAAGCCAAACAGTAAGTCAACAAGCTGAATAACGTATATTTGTGCTCTTAATGGAACAAGTACGTCATACACATCATGTTTGAAACACGAAGAAGAAAACCACGCTTCACACGTGATTCAGAACGCAACCCAATAGACTAACTTTCACGTTCCAGTTCCAGGACTGCATTTTGCGTAATAGGCAACAGCATTCATGCAGAGGGTTTTCTTGCGAACAAGGAGTTGTTTCGCGCAACAGAGTGCAGGATTCACAGCAGCTCGGTGCTTGGCTTGGCATCAGCTTTCTGGTTCCAGTCACTGTGAAGTGTTTGCGCTTGCACCACTCCGGGGCGGCTTGGATTGTGACACGCAAAACGTGCGGAGCAGGCGCAGCAGTGAAAAAAAGAGAACTAACACCTACTCCTACTCTGGTAGGCGGAGGTTGCACTGTAGACGCCTGGCTTCTGGCGCACCAGGGAGCTACCCTTATATACTTACCCAAACGGAAGCTAGTCTTGTGAATTCGGGTCATGAAGGGCTGCAGGTCAAATATACATCCAGTCGCAGCGGGCCATTTGAATCTCTCTGAGAGATGACGGCTTTTTAAAAACTGGGTTGCCACAGCTGTCTCCTCTCTTGCCTCTGCCAGAATGAGGTCAAACAGGAAGATGAGCAATATCAAGCAATCGCGCCAATTTTTCTATTTCACGCATTTGAGCGCTGGCACTCTTCTTCGGAACCGTTAGTTCATGTTAGTTCATACTTAAGAGGCAATGGGATGCGTAGAACAGGCTTTGAGCATCTATATCGAAGAATGAATTCATGATAGGGGCCACAGACTGGCCACAGATGTGTGTCCCCTCCAGTGGTCATTTTCAGCAACGGAGATACCCAGCGGTGGTGGGCCCATCTAAGGCCAGGGGGTTGCTCTTGGAGATCCGCAGTGATATGGACAACGTGCTGGACTGGCAGCCCTGGCGGCAATATGCCTTTGCGCCTGCAGGGCAGCTTCGGCTCAGGAGACCATGCACCTGCAGTGGCTTTCAAATTCAGTACAGTATGTATGATTCTTTGCCAGTTACTTTGTGATAGCTTGGTCGCATGTTCTCATGATTGCAGAATTATTACGGAGCTTTGTTCCTTTTTCGGAAGCCAGCAGGATATCATCGCAGCCTGCTTCTTGCTTTTGCATTCTTGTGCAGAGCTATTCCCGCCACCTTCAATGTGTTATTGTGGCAAACACACACACACGTGAAGAACTACTATATATATTATATAATATCATGAGATATCATCCGTGTTGTCAGAGAACGGGTTCTGTTGGCAAGTGTAAAGCAATCCAGTTGCTCAGTTGCCCAATTCATATATGCATCAATCTATCACAATGTCAGTTACATTTACATGTATCACTGTATCACCATTGTTGCTTTTTCAGAGCGAACATGTCCTTATTCGTCGTTGGACTGCTGCACTCATCAGGTTTGCAGCCGTGAGATGGGCATCCCAGAGGAAGGCCACGGACTGTTGTTTTATGGTCAGAGCAGCATATCATTCTCATCCCACACGGTTCCACTCACGGTTCCCAGTACTGCAAAAGTGATGAGCCACTGCTTTCGTGCCAGATGCGATTTTTCGCCCTAGAGAGGGGTACACCTTACAGAAAACACATTGAAATCCAAGGTCCTCGCCCGCACGCGAGGTGTGCTGGACCTGCCGAGTTGCACGCCGCAAGCGCAGTGGCGCCTGTGGGGCCCAGAGGCGCGAGACTCGTCGGGTCGATGGTGGTCGTCTCCGGCGGGTCGCTCGTCGTCTTCGGATTCGCGATGTGCGGTTTCTTGAAAGCATGGGTGGTCTATGGTCTTTGTTTGGTGAGAACTCCACAGAATCATAGAGATTCCAGATGATTGAAGGTGGACTCCTGGACAGTGTATGAGCTTCACTTCTACACTGACGATCTTTGCAGCTGGGCCTCGTTTATGCCTGGCCAGTCGAATCATACAAACAACTTGTATCCCCTTCACTCTCCCTACTTGATGCGCTGACAGCGGAACAATGGAGCTCTTGAGCCTTCTCAAGGAAAAACTGACTACTGTAGTTAATATTAAGAGTCAAGCGACATAAATAAATGGACTATAGTCGCTTTGGGTCTTCTCACTAAGCTGCCCCGTAATATCTGGATGTTCTTCAAACTAAGGCAGCGTCTCACCTGCAACGCTGGGGCTTCCGATAGCAGAGCCTGGACGATTGGAGACGTGGCAACGCACCCGTGATGGAGACCTGGCGACGGCCGGGAGAGATCGGAGTCTGAGACTCCCTTCCCCTTTCTGACCGATTCAAGGTCTAAGAGTCTAAGATTTGGCAAGAAAAACCATGCTTTGGAAATTGAAGAGGACGCGAAACCATTCCAACCTTCTTGTGGGTTTGCTGCTTCGTTTTGGGAAGGGGTGGGTGGGTGGGTGGGGGTGAGCCACTGTTTAGATCTGTTTAGGAGTGTAAGCCTTTGTAAGCCTTTGATTGCTAGGGCCCAAGGGGCAACACAGACGAGATGCTTCAGATCCCTGAAGCACTTTGGGATACTTTCTGTGCTTGCCCCTAGTAGCGTCCTTGTTACGTAAGGCCAGGAGCCCCGTTCGTAGCTTCTTGCTCCTAGTAGCGATGCCAGGAGCCCCTAGTAGCGTCCTCGCTTGTTTGTATTTGTGTGAAGGGCCGCACATAGACTCCAGAAACCCAAGATACTAAGTGACAGCTTCTTTTGAAGCAGGTCATCGACGTGGAATCATTCGAGGATTAACGGATTAACGAGCGTTGCTGGCACTTGCCTCCAGGCTTGGTCTGTGGCCACGCTTGCACAGGCTTCTTGGGTGGGCACAGCAGCCTGACATGAATCTGCTGCATGTCAATGTTTAGCAGTTTAGCATCAGAGGACTTGAGCGTTTTTGGGCCAAACCAATCTAAACCCTGTGTGAGAGAGCCTAGGCATACAACCAAAGTGTTGCCGTGCGTTGTGCCGCTTGGCATGCAAACCACATTCACTGGCACTTCCAGCATAGGATGCTCCAGTTCTTCAGCGATGCTCCGGGGTTATATAAGTCTGGTGATGCGTCAAGGCTACTGTGGAGAACCATCGTTGTCAGATTTCAAGAATGTCCGTCCAATCTCGCCACGCTACTAGTAGCTGGGGCATTACTAATAGCAATAAGCTACTAGTTGCAAGGTGCATCGCTACTAGTAGCAAGGACGCTACTAGTAGCAAGAAGCGTCCATGGGGAAAGACACATGTTTGTTTCCAGTCGGTTCAGGTGCGTGTTGCCCAATTCTATGATGCTGGCGCCACTTCACAAATTCTGGAGGTGCCGAAGCCCTTGAGAGATCGTGAAAAATGGGCCCATGGGCACGGAGAGGGAAAGAGAGAGAGAGAGAGAGAGAAAAGGAGAGAAGGGGAGACCAACAAGGAGATGTTGATTGTTCGTCACCTGACTGGATTTGTGTGCTATTAAGCAACTTTATTTTTCCTGGACCTTTTGCTGCAAGGCTCATGCTGCCAACAACCAAATATACACACATGACGACAGCGTGATAGCGTGAGTCTCTGCGTTGCTGAGCACAAGCAGCGGAAGGAGCCTAGAAGAAGCCTTGAGAAGCCTAGTCGGATGGAGATGGCTCCAAGTTTGCACATCCTTTTGCATTCTTATCCGGCTTGCTGGGTCTTCAGGTTGTTCAACATTGGTGCATGTACAGATGGTGCAAAGGATAGACATGATCGGAATCACTCTTCTTGGACAATTGAGAGGTGCATGCGAGAGCTCACCCATGCGTCTGTCGTCTAGATTGCAGGCGTGGAATGGCACTGATTGGCTGGTGGAACAGGTTCTGACTCTTGGCTGCAAATGACTCTGTAGGGCGCCAACGGAAGCTGCTGCCGGCTGCACTTCATGCGAACACCTGACTTTCTCTATCATATCTTTCGGTTGCAGGTCTGGCCAGGCTCCACGCATTGGCAGCTTCCAGTTTCTGCCTCAACGTCAGCTACCAGGCACTCAAGCTTTATATACGTAGCTAGGGCAGGTAACAGGCGGTAACAGAGTATCACCATTTTTTGAGAGAGGCGGCCTTTACTAACCATCATCATCCACGGTTGCTGGTAGAGCAGCCAGCGTTTGGGATCGAGTGTGTCTGAGTATGTCCGAGTCCAAGGCTCCGCAGATCCAGGTTGGGGTCAAAGTTCTCTCCTTCGATGTGGTCGACTATTAACACACACACACACAGACACACATATCTACACAAACAGATTATATATATACACATAGACTAGACGGTTGGCAAGCAACCCCCTCTCCAATGACCCAAAGGAGTCGAGCGATGTCCAGCGTCGCCAGTCTTGTCGCCACGGTCCGATGTGTCGCCAGGCGATTCGCAGTGGCTCAGCTGAGAGACAGCATGGCTCCCCACAACTGGGGCTCACGCGGCATGACACATGCCTCATAACATGTGTTGTGCACTGGGATTGTTGGGAGGCTCAAGATGGCTCAAGAGTAGAAGAAATGTTGGACTTCACTACCGAAGCCGTTGGCTCGAGTAGAGTGGAGGGTGACCACTGTGGCGGCGTGGTGACCGCGAGCAGATGTCAAAGTGGCTTGCATGACACGGGGCTCGGGGCAGAATGCGGGGCACAAAGATCCTACAAGGAATCTAGAATCTAAAAGAGCAATCAATAACATTGATATGATTTTGATGGATCAATGGATCATCAGTGTCAGAATATTAGCTTCTACTACCTAACTAGGGTTCATTCCACCCCATGTCCTTTCCCGGATGGACCCTTAAATGTGCAGGTGTTTGCACAGTGCCGGTGCCTCGATCTGAGCCTTTTTTGATTTCCATTGCCCGTAGTTGAGGCACTACTTGGAAATGTACAGCTGCTTGGGCTGCAGAGTGCTGTAGAAGTGGGATGGTGATAACTAGTTGGTGAATGCACCAGGCACCCACTAGCTCCAGTAGGCCAGGTGTTGGAAGGGAGTTGAACAGTTGCTCTATTTGCATTGTTTTGACCTCAGCAGCATATTTATTTCGGCATGGGCCAATTCACTTAACGCTTGACTCTACTGCAATCCTCAAACTGTTGCGGCACTTTCTGCACTCCTTCATGGAAGTGGTAAAGTTTTCAGTACGTTTTCGAAGGTTTTCCTTGGTGTTCAGGTGCGATTGCGGCAGTTCGGGTGATCAAGTGCGCACTTCGACGCGTGTGTTCCGTTCTTGAGGTGCCCCCCCTCTGCCAGCTCTGCATGTTTTTTTCTTAGATCTACCTTATCAAATGAAGGAGAATCCTGATCCCAGGCACTAGCATAGCAACGGCAACAAGGCCCCGAAAACACACCGACACCAAGAACCAGAGAGGCACTCGAAAAATGTTCGGCTGCTCGACCTTTTGGCCTGAGGCTCTCGAGTCTCACAGCTGCATTAGGGGCAACCAGTCATTCGTGTTTGACGACTGCGAAATGAATTGGAATGCGCTAGAGCATATTGGGATGAACTATGCTGCACAACATGGCACAACATGTCAACAGAACATACGTTGTCTTGAACCTAAAACATTCACATACCCCAAGCAATGAGGAGCTCATCGACGGGAACGATGGCGGCAGCTCCGACAAGTCAGATGATATAGATTCCGCACTGGAAGAAGGTGTCACCTTGATCGCCGCTCCCCTACATTGCAAGTAGGTTGGAGGCCATCGCAAGTAGAACAAAGACAAAAGAAAAAGAAGAAAGGTCTAAAATAGTTGCTTCTAGGTTGGAGGCCATTGCCAGGAAGGTGTCACCTTGATCGCAGCTCCCCTACTCTTAAGTCGCGAAATCGGTTTTCACGCCGCACGCCGAGTGTCGCTGGTTGTCCTTGGGGCCGGCAGAGACCTAAGGACTTGAAAGAGCAGCTTGGGCAGATTCAAAAAGCATCTTGGGCTTGTGAAAAAGACACCAACTTCTGACGGTTCGCACTGGCAATTCGCATGACTTTGTTTCATACTATTTTAATCCTTTTTTTTCTACTAGGTAGACTAAGACCATTTAGTTCGCTTCGTGAATCAACGGAGACCACTGATGTCCCAGGAAAAGGCGAATCTGGAGGTCGAGCTCAGCAAGTGGGAGAACAAATCTGACAAGCTGCCTGCCAGAGAATGCCAGAGAGACATGTTACAGTCATGTGTTTCTTGTGCTGGAAAAAGCTGCAACGTACTTATTATGTAGATGTACAGTATCCACTTGCGTATCGACGGTCGAGTGGCCATGTTATATTTGGATTTAGTCTTGGACAGCAGAGGCTGAAACTGGTTCCAATGAATTCCACGTTTTCTTCATTCACCGTCCGCCTGACCAAGGCTGAAAGTGGAAATCAAGGCCAAAGAGGTGCCGAGCAGTCACTGACCCCTCCAAAAAAGAACCTAAACTCCCAGAAACTCCAGAAACATCTCTGAACCATAGGCAGTTTGTAATAGCTTGCAGCTTGTACCCATAGAATCCTATAGACTCTTTGCGACTATCAAACGATTCATAGGGGGTTCGGCGTTCGGAGTAATTCAATCATGTCTGGGATGCTGCAGGTCCTGATTGAAAGAATGCTCTTGTGACTGTGATGTTCGGCTCATGATGCCCACCTCGTTAGTGATCAATCTTCCGCCCACCTCGGTCGTCCCCAGGATGCAGAGATCGCGCTCCAGGCCAAGATCGAGAACGACGGTGCATGGCTCAGGACTCGACTCGGCCGTCGCTCAGTTCGTCCGTCCGAGGAAGGACTCTGAGACTCGTACTACTAGCGTCTTGTTACTACTAGTAAGGCACTTGTTACTAGAAGCGATGCACTTGTTCCTAGTAGCTTCTTGCTCCTAGTAGTAAGGCACTTGTTTCTACTAGCTTCTTGTTACTACTAGTAAGGCACCTGTTACTAGTAGCGTGGCACTTGTTACGGCCGTGGCTCAGTTCGTCCGTCCGAGGTAGTAAATCCCAAGCGGGTGACCTCGAAGACGAACATCCACCGGGTCCGGAGTGTCTGGAGTGGGTCGACGGTCACTTGGCAGCATGACTGTCCAAGCTTTGGACTGCGCAGCTGGACATTGAAGAATGGGCTGGTGTTCCCAGGTGGCTGCTTCAACTTCTTTTCGATGTTTGTTGCCACTTGGATTCAATCATGCGATATCATGAGGCAAGATCATGCTGTATTGATATGTCAAAAGGCAAATGTCTATTTTGTGGGCGCAATGGCCCACGAAGAGCCGTCTGATAGTGTGGCTAATGGAGTATTCTCAAAAGGTCTTCGCCAACGTTGCCATCATGGTCCTGAAGCACTTCTGGGATCCAATGACCGAGATCACAGGAGAAGCATAGCTGCATTTTCGACAAATCCGACCAAATCCAGCGCCCACTTCCAGATCCAGCTTCAGATAGTCCACCCAATGAGATCACAGATTCCACAACAAACTATATACATCTATATACTGTATTAGGATTGACCAGGGCATTGCTTCCAAAGCCTCACATTGTCTAAATAAGCTCCTGAAGCTGGAAGGGGCTACTTGTCGTGGACTACTGTATCTGATGAGCCGCATCGTTGCTGGTGGAACATATTGAATTTGTTTTCCGATTGCCGTATGTAACTGGGGAGGCCTGATTGAGCGAGGGCAGGCGGCTCCTCGGCACCGGCCCAACAAGAAGTCGGTAAAGTCGCATCTCAGGAATTGTGGTACTTTGACCAAGCTTTCCTGGTCTTCTACATCATTGTCCTGAGCTTAGCCATGTGATAGCCCACGATTTTTTGCATCCTCGGTCGGCTCACAAAATGAATTGTTTGGAGGCACAGGTTTTGCCAGTCTAGAATTGCTCAAAGCGGTCAGCTGCTCTGCAGATCACAGTTCGCTTCAAAGACGGACAGATGCAGTGCCTGGTGTTTGAGGAGCTCAGCCTTCGCTTCGCTTTGTGGAGGGATCAGCTCCTTTTTGGCCGACCCTTTTCGAAGACTTGGTCATATTGGCTCGATGTCGTCGTTGTGCGGCCTGGCAGCATTGATGATTGATGTTTGCGAACCTTCTCGAGGTGGTGTTTGCATTTGAAGGCGGACCATGTTGGTATATAGAACATTGGCCCCCTTAGCTAAATGAATCAGGGGTGACCCTGACGATGACAACCCAGCATGCAAATCCAACATTGCATTCTCGAATTGTTTTGGAAATTAATTGGAAGCGATTGAGGTCATTTGAGGGCAGGTGACCACCCCAAAAGACTGGAGCATATACCATCGAATGAGAAAGAAACACAAAGAGAAATCAGACAGTCAAAACATACAAAGACAAGGAAGTAACTTTGCCTCAACCGATTAGTTTTCACAATGAAATCGAGCAAAATGAATTGGACCCAAAGTCAGTCATTATTCCAAAAAGGGTGGTGAGGGGTTAGATTAGTCAGTTATGTGTTATAGATTGAGGGGTACGTGGGGGACCCCCTTTGTTGGTGGAGTGAATATCGTAATTGTGGCATGCTTTTCTTTTGCTCTGCCCAAAATGCCACCAATACTTGGATCATCTGGGATCTAAAGCCAAAAGGCCCAAAGCGGTTCCTTTTTGCTGCCCACCAGCCCTCTACATCCAAGGGTGACATCAGTTATTGAGCAGTGGATACTGCCATTCTTCTTGGAGACAACTGGTGGCGGATTCGGATTCTTGCGAATTCTCAGGCGCATAATTCACTGTGAAGGTTCCGAAACCTTCCGGGCAGAATATACTCCCCCGCAGATTTCAATTGGAACCCCACACCCACTCGGTTGTAGAGGAAAATGGTCTTCCACGGTTCAATTCTCAGGTTCCAATGGATTCGTTTGTGGGGGGGTATTGTTCTTACGTTTCTGGAGGCCTATGGCTCGGACTTGACGACCTCGGGCTGTACTTGGCTTCGCAATGCTCACTAATTCAGTCTGACGGTGTAGTTGTGTTCGCACAGGTGCCATATAGTCATATAGTTTTTGGTGCTCCGAGTGCCCTGGAACCTGAAAAACCTCGGCAAACCACGCTAATTAGAGACTTTGCTACCTCTTGAGCCTCGCCAGGATCTTCCGTTTCTTCAGGGTCCTGCGAATCGTTGGAAAGGCCAGCCTTGGAAGGGATTTATTTTGTGCAGAGGACTGAAGGCCAATCAGTGCCGCTATCGAGAGGACTGAAGGCCAATCAGTGCCGCTATTGACTGAACATCCACTGACTTTACCTAACATGCAAGTGGAACAGCTGGAAGTCACAGTGGAACAGCAGAGGAAACACTCTTGCAAGGCCTCATGTTCATTTGCCACTTCCATGACTGGTGAGTCGGAGTGTCAGACCTAACATGGACGTGGTTCGTTCGGACTCCACGGGGAACGCCACGTGGAACGTCAGCTTGCG